TCTCCCCCCTCTCCCTCTCCCTCTCCCTCTCTGCCTTTTAGTTAGTTTGGATAAAGGTTTGTCTCTCTTGTTGATTTTCTCCAAGAACCAACTCTTTGTTTCATTGATTCTTCGTATTGTTCTCTTTGTTTCTATTTTATTGATTTCAGCCCTCAGTTTGATCATTTCTTGTCTACTCCTCTTGGGTGAGTTTGCTTCTTTTTGTTCTAGAGTTTTCAGGTGTGGTGTTAAGTTGCTAGTGTGAGATTTCTCCAACTTCTTTATGTGTGCATTTAGTGCTATGAACTTTCCTCTTAGCATCACTTTCACAGTGTCCCATATATTTGTGTATGTTGTGCATTCACTTTTATTGAATTCTAGGAAATCTTTATTCTCTTTCATTTTTGACCCAGTGGTAATTCAGTTGAGAGTTGTTCAGTTTCCATGAGTTTATAGGCTTTCTGTAGTCTGTGTTGTTGTTGTTGAATTCTAACTTTATCCCATGGTGATCTGATAAGATACAGGGGGTTATTCCAGTTTTTTTTTTTTTATATCTGTTAAGACTTGCTTTGTGACTGAGTCTGTATTCAGTTTTGGAGAAGGTTCCATGAGGTGCTGAGAAGAAGGTATATTGTTTTGTGTTTGGGTGAAATGTTCTATAGATGCCTGTTATGTCCATTTGAGACGTAACAACTGTTAATTCTGTTATTTCTCTGTTTAGTTTCTGCCTGAATGACCTGTCCACTGGTGTGAATGGGATGTTGAAGTCTCCCACAATTAATGTGTGGGGTTTAATATGCAATCTTAGCTTTAGTAATGTTTCTTTTTTAAGTATGGGTGTCCTTGTATTTGGGGCATAGATGTTCAGAACTGAGACATCATCTTGGTGAATTTTTCATTTGATGAATATGAAATGTCCTCCATCTCTTTAGATTAATTTTGGTTTGAATTCTATTTTGTTAGATATTAGGATAGCTACACCAGCTTGCTTCTTCAGTCTGTTTGATTGGCCAACCATCAGTCTTAATTTGGGTTTTGCTGATGACATTTCAGGATACTGAGTAAGTCACTTGGATTCCATCCCCTTATTTTTACAGTCAGTGAAAATTATTAGAAGTATTATAAAATTCAATTTAAATCCATAAGACATGGAAAGCTGAGTAAAGATTTATCAAGTGAGTTCCCAATAACTAAGCGCATCAAAAGGCTGGAGAGATGACTGAGTAGGAAAGATAGCTGCTCTTCCAGAGGACCCGGGTTCGGTTCCCGGCTCCCACACAAAGTGGTTCACAACCACCTGTAACTTCAACTCTAGAGAATACAACATGCTCTTCTTTACTCTGTGGGCACACAAACACTACACAGTACACAATCATACATCCATATACCACACAGCATACACTCATACACACACACACAGCATACACTCACATATACACACATGGCACACACTAATATACACACTCAAACACACACACACACCACAGCACATACTCATACACACTCACCACATAGCACACACACTCACCACATAGAGCACATACTCACATACACATGCACCACACACTCACATACACATGTACCACACACTCACATACACACCACACACTCACATAACAAACACCACACACTCACATACACA